AAGGCCACATGCCAAAATTCTACTAGATCAAATTAATCACAAAGTTTCTCATACAATCCAAAAACATCTAGTGAACTACGAAAAACACAAAACGCGAGTTCGACAATTATATGAACTATATCATATCATATCATCGACAAAATCATGCCAAACGAAAAGTAGTAAAAAAAACAAGCTGCTCCTTTAAATTCCCAATGAAACCACGCAGCCCTTTGTTCCAAAAAAGCACAACTTGTGCTCCTGCTATTTGCTTGTCAAAATTCCCATATGCTGAAGCTTGAGAAACCACACAAATTAATGTGTTGCTTGTCTTTTTCTTGCTTGATCCCCAAGCCCAATATTTGGTGCTGTTTCTTTTTTCTTCCCAAACTCACGTATTTCCCTTGCCTCTCTTCTTCTTAATTGATTCGTCAAAATCTTTTTTCCTTCTTATCTCTTCTTTCCTAATAGAAACCTAGTAAGAGAATGAAACTAAATAATAAAAAGAAACCATATAACTATAAAATTCTCCCAAATATAAAAACTAATAAATATATATATATATATATAATAAATCAGAAAAGCAAAATAAAAAATTAAACAAAAATACGATTTAACAACGAGCTCTCTTATGCCATTCAAAAGGCCACTATGAACCCCAGAGTGGAGACCCTGCCGGACCAACTCAACTATATTCAGATTGTCCACTTCGATTTTGACCTTGCGCGCCTCTATATCTTAAGCCAGCCGAAGCCCTTAAAACATACTCCAAAGTTAATGGAACAAAACTCAATATTCTTAAAAACCCATACACTAAGAGTTTTTGGCATATGGTAAATAAATTAATTCAGATTTGGGCCCCATCAAAGTCGAGTACCAACCTTTTCTTGATATGCCACTGATCTTATAATAATTATGTTATTGTTCTAATCTTATCTCGATTCTAATTTTGTATATATATGATGATCTGGCTCACGTATTTCAAAGTTGAGGATCTGTACTTATTATTTATTTATTTTTTTAAATTCTTTTGTCTAACCCTTATCTTAGTTAATTTTAATCCTACAAAATGCCTGTTTTTATTTTGTTGATTGAGTGAAATTTCATTAAGCTCCATTGAGAGGAATGTCCGTCATTGCGGATCAATCAAATAAACTAAATGGAATGCATTCTTTCTGTCGATTTGAATTATGATTAGTCGATCTGTGTCAGGAAAATTTCGATGCTACATGCATGTACCTGCACTGCAGTTACATGTTTTTTGCCCTTGATTTCACACACACCCATATGAATGTGTGTATGTGTATAAATCAGTGACAAAAATATATAACTGCAGTTTAGTTACATGTAGCATCAAAAGCTCCATGTATTAGTGTCTACATGGAATGCAATTAATATCATTGTCTAACTCCAAGATCGTCTCACCCCAATATCATATCGACACTTCGCTTACTCCACAGATTCAAATCGGCACCCGCTTCTCGTGGTCGAAGTTTCGATTCAAATGCCTATCACATGGAGCTTCATCCGTATAGATTACACATTCAGTGTGAAAAAGACACCCAATGCATGTGAAATGAGTTCCCGTCCATAATCAAATAAAATCGCTTAAAATGAACAATGTTGTCGCCAATGAACAGGTTACATGTCAGATTTTCAAAAAGGCGTGCTGCCACTAATCTCTCTGCATGGAGAAAGACCCTCAAACGCGCGTTACGTGTTCCATGACCATGGCGGAGCCACTGACCGCTCGTCGCGACACGGCAAATTTATATTTATAAATGTTTTTCTTGACTAACCTCCACTAACTAGTAATAGCGGTGAGTAAGGGTCGATCCCACGAGGAGTAGGAATTAAGTCGTGACAATTTTCGTATTAATCGAATTAAACTACAAAAGCAGATAAAAATGGGGAATTGAATTGATAAAAATAAAAATAATAAAATCAAATAAAATCAAATAAATAAGAGAAGTCCAGTTTTCGGTTCAGTTATCACCCAATCTAAATCTACCGTTAATCAATTTCGACGCTTTCTTTAAATTGCTAATGAATTACCAACCCTAGCTAACAATAAGCTCTGTTAACTGAATTTTCCCTTACCGATTATTTAATCGAAATAGGCTCTTCTACTAAACCTAACTAGTGGACAACCTAGAATAAGCTCTCTAGATTTAATACACTAGCAACATTAATTCCTAGGAAAATAGATCAGTCTAAGCAATGGACGCACAAACTCGGACCATTTAACTTATGCTCACGCTACCCTAGAGATGCACGACCCCTAGTTTACTACTAACAAAACGAGACAATAACAATTACGGATTAAAGCCTCGAATCTAGCAGTTCAACTATGAACATTCAACGTAGCTGGCCAAACTAAATCAAACATCATAATTCATAAACATTAAACATAGATAACGTGAATCAACTCATCCACAAAATAAATACGGCGTCTCAATTAACCAATGATAAAAATAAATCCTTCAATTCATAGACAAATCGAAGTTATGGTTCAAACATCCCTTAAAACTGGATAAAAATCTAGCCTATCATACTAATAGAAATAAATAAATAAAAGAGAGAAGATAAAAATATCTCCCTCGTGTGCGGTTGCGGCTTCCCTCCGCGTGTGTAGCCTCTTTCACAGTCCGATGTGTTGTGTCTGCTTTTTCCGCCTCTGTCTGCTCTCCGCTTTTTCTTGTCTGTACCTCTGTAAAAAATTCCTCTCGATATCTGTTGTGACTGCGTGTGGAGTCCTACTCAACATGTCTCTCGGCTATTTGATTTCCTTAGCAAATAAATGCAACTCAAGTCTCTAACTCATGTCCAGCTTGTAATTAATTACCATCTCAAATAGTTCTTTTTAGCAAAACAAATACCCCAGCCCTTCGTAACTAACTAGCCTTGGATTTCATTTCAAACAATTGGGCTTTTAAATTTGAGCTGAGATTGGGCCGGTACGAAGTGCTAAATAATTGATCGAGTGAACTTCTGTACACTGCTTCGCTTTCACTCCAAAATACTGAAAATAACACATAAAACGTCAAAGCAAATAAATTCGTCCAAATAATAAATAAGTAAAAAAAAAATAAACGTGCGAATAAATCAAGTGTATAAAACTACACTATTAAATATATAAAACGCGCACATTTTTCGACCTATCAAATCTCCCCAAACTTTAACTGTTGCTTGTCCCCAAGCAACTTATAATTAAAAGCACATAGATGGATATACATAAGTACGTGGAA